CCAGAGTCTGTAAGTCATTGTAATAAATCCCCTTCAATATACACAGATTCATTCTATCAGTTCTGTTTCTCTAGAGAACTCTTACTAGTACACCTACCCTATGACTTTAACCTCCATCTGTGAACTAAACAAATCTCTTTTACATTATAAAGTATCAATTTTTAATTTTCATATTATTAATTAATTAATTTATTTATTTATGTAGCAACACAGAGCATGGACAAAGACAAATGTGATCTTGAAAGAAGACATATGGAATCTATTATAGGAAGCAGGTAGACTTCCTATGATAGTAATCATTATTTTTTGAATGACTTCATGGTGAAATGAAAACCCACATCTTTGAAATCGCGTAGACCTTAGTCTAAGCACTGGGTATAATTAGTAGCTCAAAATGTTGAAGACAGCATTTATCTTTCTTGATATTGCTACACTGATCTTCTCATGGAGATAGCTACTATTTACGGGGCGGGTGGGGGGCGGTTGTAGACAAATAAAACCACATAGAAACTGATAGACACAATCTGACAATTTCTCTGATGATTTAGCACAGAATAGTGCAACCGACTTCTGTCACTGAAGAGAGAGGGATTAGTCAGTAAATTCTATTGCTTAAAAAATTATATGATTGGAGATTCAAAGGCATTATAAAACCTCCATATCTCTAAAAATTAAAAGTTATTCATGAATCAGAACTTAGAGAAATAAGAACTGTGTAAGACAGAAAAGATGAGAAGCAGCATGTAAGGTCACACAGATAAAGCCACAGAACACGTGGCAACATGTAAATTAACAGAAATGGGCTGAGTTTAAATGTAAGAGCTAGTCAATGGAAAACCTGAGCGAATGGCCCAGCAGTTTTATTTAATATCAGCCTCTGTGTGTTTATTTAGATCTGAGTGACTGAGGACTGGTTAGGACACAGAAAAACTTCAACTACACACTATGTTACGACAAAGTTATTCACAATACATATAAGAACAGAAAATAAGTGTATTAAATTTTCAAAGAGCTTTTTCAAATCTAAAAGCAAAAATTACCAATCACCAATATGAATATAGAAAAAAGGCATGAATTAAATGAAGTACTTTATAAGAGAAAAACTTAAGTGATCAATGAGCACTAAATGTGAATCTGTGACTATCCCCGTCACATACATTGAAAAGAATTCATTTTCTTCTTACTGATCAGATATTTAAAGCCATGGATACCCATCACTATAAGGGGTGGTGGGAAGTATTCCTGCCACACAGTATTTAGTAGAGAGAACTTTTAAGACAATGGAGGAATATATGTCACTATTTTTATACCTTATCTACACAAAAATTATACCTATGTCTGGGTTAAGAAATCATTCCATTATGTAAAGTTCTTGGTGATCTAGAATAAGTATTATGTTAGCAATAGTATTAATACAAAAATGGAAAATAATTTCTTACATTACTGTGGTTTAGCTCTTAAAAAGAATAAGGCAGACATCCACCCACCAGCAGCTAGCACAGGGGATTCTGATATTATATTAAGTCAAAACACAGGTGATGGAGCAGTATTTAAGTATAGATAGTATGATCCCATTAAATATTAAGATACATCAACAGCTATACATATATTATATTATATATGCACTGAGATGGCTAATTTTATGTCAACTTGACACAAACTACAACCATTTGAGAGGAAGAAACCTCAATTAAGATATTGCCTTCAGAAGATGGGGCTGTAAGCAACAAGCCTGTGGGACATTTTTTAAAATTAGTTATTGATGTGGGAGGCACCAGCCTATTGTAAGTGGTGCCACCCCTGAGTTGGTGGACCTGGGTTCTATAGTAGACTGAGAAAGCTATGAGGAACAGACCAATAAGCCACACTCTTCGGTGGCTTATGCATCAGCTCTTGACTCCAGATTCCTGCCCCACTTCAGTTCCTGCCTTGGCTTTCCTAAAACGACTGTAATCCAGGATATGTAAGCCAAATAAACACTTTCCTCTCCAAGTTACTTTTGGTCTTGGTGTTTTATCAGAGAAATAGAAACCCCAATGAAGACAGGCACAAAAATAATACATTCTCTATTGATGTTTCAATGCTTTGCCTATTTAATAATAAAAAAGGTAAAGTTGTAATTTGGAAAGGCTGTTTCCATATTGAAAAATCAATAATGAAATTGTCTAATTATATTTAACTGCATAGTACGATAGTTTCTGAGAAATGTAATGTGTGAACTCAGCTATGACCTGGGTTTTTAAGATTTGGTATAATGTTTATCTTTGTACTGTTTATATATAAGAATGTATTCTTGTCTTTTAAGAAACTTCAAAAGGCTTATGAAAAGTCCACTAGAACTTCTCCCACATGAGACTGTCATCCGGCAAATAGCATCACCATATGGGAGGAAGAGGCAGGAAGTGATACAGTCTTTCATGTGCTGCAGTTATTTCTCAACCTCATTCTCTTCAAATCATCATGCCTGCTTTGAAATTTTTGACTTAAAAGGGAAGTTTGCTCAAGCCACTGGCACCCTTTTTGGATGAGGTGAAGTCTTTCTTTCTTGTCAGTATTTTTTAAAAATAATTTTGAACTCAAAATTATCAGTTTAAAATGTTGCCTTTTAAATAGACAATCATCCCAGACTTAGATCAGCACATTTACTGTGACTGTGTAGGAGCGGTAGGTATGTATGGATCTAGAAACATGTATGTATTGTATGCTTATCTCTGAATATGTGTTGAAAGGTCATGTGAATGTACATATACATGCTGTCTCTGTCCATACTTATGTGTTGTAGCAAATATGTGTGCACATACATATATGTATACATATATCCATATATATCTTGTACATGTACAGACACAAAGAATAGATATCTAAAAATACAGTTCCTTTGAAAGTAGAAAAATATTTGGACTCCTCATTTGCAGAGAGTACTGTGAGTAATGGGAAGGGTTTAATCACAATGCTTCCTTACGTTAGACTTACTGTGACTATCAATAGAATCAATCCTGAGGTCGCGGTCACAGGACTACAATATTTCAGGAAAAAATGAATACATGTGATGTTTCTGAAGATTTGATGTGGTTTGTGATTATAGTCCAAATTTTGATAAATAGATTTCATGCAATAAAGCATTTGTTTGAAGCCGTTGGAGATAAAAATTGATATTGTTAATTTGGTACTATAATGCAACAAAACTGTGTCTTCTAACTGCTTCATTTCTTCCCCAAATTAAAAATTCAAAACTAGGTGTTCAGGAAGAAATACATGCATGGTTTTAAAATAGCTGAACTTAGTCTAATACTGAAATTTGCACAATACTAAAAGCTTGAAAACTTAGATGTTCAGTGATTTACTGTTATCATTGTAATTTGTAATATGCTTCCCTTTGCATGATACAAAAATTTCTGTCTTAGAAGAATAGAAAAACAGTGTACGTTTACATCAAAACTCTGCTTTATTCCATATTTGTTTTTCCTGTATTTTCCTTCTCATTTGATTTTATATGTCCAGGTATGAAAATGATATATAAAACATGAGTGTTTTCAGGATTTTGAATTCACCATGTCAAAGAGAACAAGTTGTCTCCAATTCTTTCCTATTTTCCTATATGTAGTTACCAAACAATCACAAATGAAAGGTAGCAAAATGATTTTATTTTGAATGTATAAAACAAAAAAATACAGACTATAACTATAAGTTAGGTAATTATTTATAAATTTGTATTAAAGTGTCTATTTTAATGCCATACATCTTCTCCTGTGTGGCATGGAGTCACACGCACAGAAGTGTAAAGAAAGAAGATTCTGCTTAGACAGAAAGAAAAAACACAGTCACCTCTCAAGAATCCACAATGCATAAACAAAGTAAATTATCCCAGGTGCAGAAAAATGAGGATTAATTTAATATAACCATGCATAGGTTGATACATAAGCAGATCTATTTCCTGATTTTATGTGGCAACACAGAATGTGTAAGGATGGGAGTTCCCCTAAAGCCAGAACTTGCTCTTGCTATAGATCGCCTCTCTTTCTGTAAAATATTTTTTAGGAACAAAAGCAGCCAAAGTAACCAGGCGGCAGTGGCGCACACTTTTAATCCCAGCACTCGGGAGGCAGAGCCAGGTGGATTTCTGTGAGTTCAAGGCCAGCCTGGTCTACAGAGCAAGATCCAGGACAGGCACCAAAACCACACAGAGAACTCTGTCTCAAAAATCAAAACCAACCAACCAAACAAACAAAAGCAGCCAAAGTATAAGTGGATTTCTACCAAGTTTCATTTTACAAAAGCTGCTAGCCTAAGATGTTTTAGACTATCGCCAAAACAAGATGGAGTTACCAGCTTAATTTGCCAAGTACTTAATTCAGTAAATGTAAATTCTGTTAGATTCCTAAGACAGTAATTTTAAATCAGCCTTTACTCATCATTTGTTCTCATAAACCAATGAACTTTAGTTTATTTTTATAAATATAGATATTTATAAATATTATTTATATTTGTTTAGTACATTTGCTAATGACTGGGGCATGTTTGTTTTAGATGGGAATCACGTAGAAGTCTGCCAATGAACACTGTTTACTTCGTTAACAATGAAGTGAAGGAATGGAGCAAAAGTATCAAACAATATTGAAAGTCAGAAAGTCTATCTACATATAAGTGCATTTATGAAATTAATTTCCTTCTAAAACAGCCAACTTCTTGACAGCATTTCCCCACATCTCTGAGCACATCCCAGGTTCCTCAGCCCTCCCCAAAATGCCATCACTGGATCCGTGGAATTACCTGACATGTTCATTAAACTTTCCAATGCCCAGATTCTACTAGGATCTATGGAACTTAAATATCCAGACGAGGTTTCCAGATATTGGCCAGGTTGTGAAAACAGACAATATGCTATAAACACCACTGTCTCTCCATTATTGGGTTAAAGGGGAATGAGGTTATTTTCAACTATTTAATGCTGTATAAAACAGAGCAGAAATTCCCGTTTCAGTTGTGGATGGTGTACTTACTACAATTTTCAGCTCTTCTGTTATCTCGGATCACGATTCTCTGGTTGATGGTGCTGAAGAGTGTTGTCCAGTTAATGGTGTGATAATAACACAAGTTGCTGTTGTCGGTAATGTAGATGTTGCCCGCACTGATTTCCTTCAGAGACTGGAATTGCAGGGAAGTGATGCCTTGTTGTTTGAGGATAAGCAAAGAGAGACCACTAAAGTGGAGAGAGGGGGAATGGATAATGAATAATTCATGAAATATACAGTAAAGTTCAATAAGGACACAGCATCTCACAACAAAAATAAAAATAATGGAGCATAAACAGTGGATGAACGGACAAACCTGTGCTCAGGTACATACTTGCATAATCATTTAATTTCCTAATTGGCAATGTCCGCTTATAATTATGAACACTGACAATATATATTTACCACTGAAATATCAACTTAGTGACTTATCTTGTCAGCATAAATTTTGTGTTCCTCAACAATAAAGTTCTATACTAAAAGTAAATATTTATAGAATAAAAAAATATAAATAAGTCTTTAGAGTTACCCACGATAACATGTTAATTCTATTATAACTATGTAAAAATAGACATGCTTTCATAGGGTAAATATTACAGAAAAAGAGTGTAGCTTTTTAGATTTTGATTCATATATATCAGAAACAAAAACTGATCAGTTGCAGGATGTACAAAAAAAGATTAGAAATACAAAGAATGAAAAAGCTAAAAGTTTAAAATCAAAAGCACTGAGGAAGTTTAGATAGTTGGGGAAACCTCCGAAACCCAGTCTACTCAAGACGAAAGAATGATCTGCAGAAAAATTCCTTCTAGTGCAACATAGCCAACATTTTGTGATCTCCTTTTTAAATTTCTATTGTTTTTAAATTATGCTTTTCACATCCCTGTGTGTCAATCAACTAAATGGTATTGATCTTCCTTTGGTAGATACAAGCTCTATTTTTCACTAATAAGTATAAATACCCCTGGCTTTAGTGTCTAGAACTGTTCTCAATAACAAAAAGAGACAATGTTAAATCATGGAGTTGCAATTCTTTTATTTTTTTTTTCCTTTCCTTCCTAAACAGCTGAATTGTTGACTACTGTGTCCTCATTATTCCTGGAATGATTAATATTTTATCCAATAGATAATAAAACTTGTTTGCACATAGCACTTGAATAAATTTAAGTCCTAATTATCCTTTTTTATTGTTCTTTTCTTTTACTCTTTCTGTGATATGTTTATGGGTTTCACTGTGGCGTCGTCATACACGTAGAGTGAACTTTTATATTCCCTCAGTTTATTTTCTCCTGTATCCCGTCCACACTCACTGCTCTGTCTCTTCTTCCCAAGTAGTCCCTCTTCTTGTCATATTTATCTGTCTGCCTGTCTACCTACTATCTATCTCTATATCTGTCTATATCTATCTATCTATCTATCTATCTATCTATCTATCTATCTGTCTGTCTGTCTGTCTGTCTGTCTGTCTGTCTGTCTAAATACCATCTATCTCTATATCTGCCTCTATCTATCTATCTATCTATCTATCTATCTATCTATCTATCTATCTACCTACCTATCTATCAATCTACCTATTATCTATCTACTATGTTTCTATCCTATATACAGAAAATACATGTTTGCCTTTTGGGGTAGAGTTATTTTCTTTTATATAATCCCGAGTACCATGCATTTCCTGCATATGACAAAATGATTATTCATTCATATGGTAGGATTCTACCCCAGTGTATATGTATTGTGTGTGTGTGCCTGAGTGTGTGTGTGCCTGAGTGTGTGTGTTTTGTTTTCTGAGAATTTCATACATGAGTATCATATTTACATAATTTCCACTCTAAACTTCACAGTTTTAATTCCTTGATGCCACCCATACTGTATCAACTTATGAATTCTTTTTCTTTAATTATTATTGTTTTATGCATATATAATATACATATTACAAATATTATATGATATTAATATAGTATATATAACATACATATATATGTACATATATACACACATACATATAAAACCTCCCTAGTCTACTTAGTGTTGATCATGTGTATACATGTTTATGGTTGACCACGTTGAATTGGATAACCTATCAAGGTTCATCTCTGTAGAATATTGATTTTCCTTTCTGAGTAGCCATTGTCTAGGGTTGGGCCTAGATTTTCTCTAACCATATTGGAACATTAAACAATGTTGTCTTTAAATTTATCTTATTTAGCCATCCATCTATGACATGCCCGGCCTTTCCCTAACTTGGTTATTGTATATAAATATAGATAAATATAGATATGGAGGCATCTCTGCCTTATGCTGACTTTGGGAATATACTTAAGAAGTATATAACCTAATGATACAGTGGTACTACTTTGATGGTAGAGGAACCCCCACAATGATTTCTGTTGTTGGTAAACTAGCTTACATTTCTACACTCGATGTGTAAGTAAATTTTCCTCCATCCTTATTAGCATTTAATATCTTTTGTTTTCTCAATGGAATGCATTCTGATGGCACTTACTTCTATCAGATATCTTTTCCATTAGATAAGGATGTTGAACATTTTTTCAAGTATTTATTGTCCATTTTAACTGCTTTTCAGAACTTAGAGCTATATCTGTTTTTGTATAAATAGTCAACTTTAACCGTTACAATGTAAAACAAACCTTTAAAAGAGGTAGAGACTTATTAAAGGTTCATTTTATCATGTAAATTCAAAATATCAACATTAATATTTGCCAACGATATCATGCTGACCTCGCCATTTATTATTTAACACTAAGGATAGTGGCCCTACCCCAATAACATCAACACCAGATGCATAGCACACACAACAGTATCAAAGATCCAGCTCTAGCCTCCAGGTACAACAACATTTATTTCCCAAACTCTCAAGTCATTTCGGAGGCATTTAAGTTATCTTTTATTATATTAAAAATTAAAAATAAGGCACAATTCTACAGGTCACATCACAAGCTTCATACCTGAAAAATATATTATCAGGACAGGCAACAAATCCTTGAAAATCAAACTACAAATTCTATGTGTTTCTCATCACACTGGAAATTGCTTCAGGAGTCTAATCTTTGGAATTAACCAATAGATCAGTAAGACTGATATTTTTAACATTCAAGAACTTGTGATGTCCTTCCTTGTATTTGTGCAGCTTACAGAGTGAACATATTTACCAACCTGTAGAGGACTCTCCCTCCAATGGTGACGAGGTTGGAGAAAACACTGAAGTCTGTCATATTCGGAGGCCAAGATTGTATGTTCAGGAAACCTATAGGGAGGTAGGAAAGTAAAATCATTGATGGTATTGTTTTTCAACAACAGTGCTAATTATTGTTCAAACATGAAGAAAACATTTTGAAAGGTGGGGAGTAAGCAAAAGACAATGAAAACTACTTTTGAAGCAACCATCACATATTTATTCCTTTATGATTATGTATAATACTATTAGTTTCTGGAGTAAACAGTAAATACATAGCTGATATCAAAGCATGGGACAAAGAATCCCTGTTTCTAAGACTCAAGGAATCATAAAGGTGTATGTATCAAATATTGAGGAATCATAAAGGTGTATGTATCAAATATTGAAAAAATACATTTACTTTATTTTGGTAGATACATATATATAGAATTCTTGTTCAGTTAAGGGGAAAATATAGTTCCATTTCTGTGATTTTGTTAACCATTTGTCTCTATAATATCACATCTGTATCGACCTAGAAATCTAAACTATTTGTGTTTATGTATGAAAAATAAGGTTCTATTTTCATCAGGTTTTATTTTCAGTGATGTCAAATCCAAGTTTGATTCATATTTATGAACCCATAAGGGTTATTATAAAAGATTTTAAAAAATAAATCTTCAAAAAATACCATGCTAAATGAGTGCAATATATTTCCCATATTGAATGCAATTCTTACGAGAAAATGAATTGCAAAACAAGTTTCTAAGAATCACAGATCTTTTGGTCTTTGCAAACACAATATTAACATTATTTTAAAGTTCATTTATGTAATTCTATTGGTTTTAAAATACAGAAGTTACTGAGTGATCAAAACCATGTGAGTTTTTACAAACTAGAACTCCTCTCAAAAATTGATTTGCTTTTATAAATATTGTGTAATTATTTCAAGAAAACAGAAGGTCACATAGCTTGGGGCAAAACATACATATACTTTTTAAAGTACCTGTTATTTCTCTGACCGTCCGAAAGACATTCAGTTTCTCTGGGTCTATGGCTTCAATTGCATTGTAAGGGTCCCTAGGAAATCAAAAAGAGACACAGTCAAATTTAAACCGATCATTTTATAACACAGGAAACACTTGCTTCCATCAAAATAATATACATTATTTAAAATATTAACAAATTTCTTAATACAAAACATAAATTTTGAATATTTCTAAAGCACCATTTCCTTATGAAAAAGGCTTTGAAATTCATGTCTGATAAGTTCTAAAGTTGTTATTTAAAAACAGCTAATAGATTATTCTCAGTTTTATCTTCCAAAAATATGTTAGGTAAATATCAGCCATGCAAAATAATTACACACTTGAATATTAAGCCCAACATAACACCGAACTATCTCAGTAAGTAAAGTAATACTTTCAGAAATTTAAGGAACATACAGCATTTATTTAATGCTTTATTACTTTAAAAGGCTCTTCAGGATGTATGGAGACTTCATATCTTCAGGGAAATGTTAAATTTTATGCATTGATCACCTTTCAGTGAGATACTGAACTTTCTAAGAAGAATGAACTTAGGCTTTTCTAGAAGTATATAGCAATTAAATGAGTTTTTTTCTCCCTATGAACATTTATCTTTTGTAACAGTTTGTGAGTACTTTCTGGAATTTTTGTGTGTGTGTGTGTGGAAAAACACAGAATACAGCAATGTCTTTATACAATCTTAATAGGGTTATAAACCAAGATACTTCATAACACCCCAACAAACAGGCAGATATATGGCATAGATGCTGGAAATGAAGTTTGCATCCACAGAAAGATGGATTTGAAAGATCATTATTTTCGGCAACTGTGAGTTCGAGGTTGAACTCGCAAACCGCCTGACACTGGCTTCCTGAACTCGGTTCATCAGCATATTGCCCCACACTGTGGAACCATCTCAGCTCTTTAAAAAGGGCTTTGCTTGATTAAATAACTTTTCAAACTAAGAAATGCAATCAGTGCAAAGTACTACTAGTTTAATGTGCATTGCTGTAGAAAGCTCCGGTGTAAGGTATTGCTGAGACTGAGAAACCACAAGCACATTTTTCGATAACTCAAAAAAAAAAATACTATTGATTCAGAATATTCTCAGTGTCACATGGATGTCTCTTAAAAGTTTAAAGCCTAAGTGTAAAGTTCTCAAAAAGTTAAAATCTTGCTCTCTCACAGACTCTCATAAATGCATATATATGTATATATGCACATATATGTGTATGTATTTGTGTTGCATATGAACAATCTTTTAATGTTCACATATACAAAATACATAAAAATGAAGTGTAACATGTGACAAAACTTTGTAATCATCTTTTAAAATTAATTTGTATTCGTTCATTGAAATTTTCATACATATATACAATGTACCTTCATCATATCCACTCCCACTTCTTTATTCCAATTTCCTCCCCAACCCATGATCCAATACATCTCCCTACCAACTTCATGTCTTCTTTTTTTTTGCTATAAAATATTTGAATACACCGAATCCAGTTAGTGATGCCCATATGCACATTGTTGTGGGATCCTCCACTGCAATATGGGATAAATAACAGTGACCATCCCTCCAAAGAAAAGTAGTTCTCCCCACTCCAGCAACCTTCAATTACCTCCATCATCCCAGCTAAGTCTCCTGTCATACCTCCATGCTAGATTTTTTAACTGGCTTCATATTGTGCAGGTCTTGTGCAGATAGCCTCAGCTGTTCATATGAACCTATAGGTTCAGATATGTAACAACCATGCCATGTCCAGAAAACAACACTTCATATAGCACTCCTATTTACCCTGCAGTTCTTGAATTCTATAGCCATCTTTTAATGTGCAAAACTCTTTTAAACAGAGGAACTATAAGCTCTGAAATCAGGGAATGGACTTTCAACATTGCTCTGCTAGGCAAAACAACATGCAGCTCTTCTGGCCATAAATTAAACATCTTGACTTCGCAAAAAAATAAATTCAAAATTCAGGGCAAGCACACAATAATGGAGTCAACCAAAGTCATGACTGAAAATTTCATGGTTTCCAGAAATGGAATTCATTTTGGGCTATTAGCTAGAAGCCCAATGGACCACAGACATTTTATATATTTAATTTTAGAGATTCAAGACTCTTATAAAATAAGTTGACAGAATTCCCCTTTTCAATTTCAAAGTACCTGTGGGAGTCTCATCCTAAAGCCACTAGAGATCCACACTTCCTTAAAATCTCTTGTCTCCCTAAATACAGAGCCATATAAAAGAACATTATGACTCCCTGTTACTGTTTTTGGTGATCCAAAATAATGTTCAGCATAGAAAGAAAAAAATCAAGGTGTGACTTATACTATCTGCCACTATTGCAACCTGTCATGAAAACCTTTTCTTGTCAGTTCCTTTCTGTGACACAGTTCCAGCATACTTATGAACATCTTGTCACTGTAAGAACATGCACCTGAACAATGTCAAGACAGCAGATGAGAGGAACATTCCTTTGATAACCCTAGACATTTTGCATGCCTGTACTTCTCATTCTAATTAAGGAAATAAGTTGAATTTCCATTCATGGCAAAGACAATTTTATGACATGGTGTGAACATGCCAATTAACTTTCTTTAGTTCTTTTAAATACAAAAATTAATTGACAAATTGCCAAGACTATATTTTCTGAAAGAAATGGTTCTGAACACAGTATCATTTAATTATGACTTTTGACCTCATCATTAAAGAACTGTGTTATATTGAGAGTAACAGCATTGAAGGTCCATAAAACTTTTGTTTTTGTTTTTGTTTTTTCAAGACAGGGTTTCTTTGTGTAGCTTTGGTGCCTTTCCTGAAACTTGCTTTGTAGACCAGGCTGGCCTCGAACTCACAGAGATCTGCCTGCCTCTGCCTCCCAAGTGCTGGGATTAAAGGTGTGTGCCACCACCGCCTGGCACATAAAACATTTTATTTACTAGAAGTTTATTGTTTATAGTATCTATAGTAGTGACTATTAAAATCTGCTCTGCCTTCCTTTACTTTTCTCTCTCCCCACAGGTGCATGCATGCGTGTGCTCACACACACACACACACACACACACACACACACACACACACACAGAGAGAGACTGAATAAACCACCACCACAGTCTCAGATCTATTGAATTGACTTTATAGTTATAGTTTCATGAAATGAATGGGAAGGGCTTCAGAATATATGGCGCATTCTAGCATGAGACTGAAAATGAAGGATATATCATACTTCACATTTATTTGTCTTGCAAAAAAGAATGCCCTATTTATTTTCCTCCTGACACAATGGCATCAAACTTTAACTTCAAAGTATTTCAGGGGTCAGTACTATGATTGAGGACAGATAATCACCCTGTCCTTAAAATAAGAAGCATGATGTACCTGAAACAAAATTTTGCCTTGATTTGCTTTCTTTCTAAGACAGTCTATAAAAGACTACCGCTAACCCATAAGGTAAGATTTGTTGAACACTTTTCTGAGCTCTGAATTAGGCATAGTCACAGAGGTTTCTCTTTTACTTCCTTCTTGACCTGTCCTTAGTGCTTTTCCTTTCCTCTGCTCCACTCACCCCCGCCTTCCTTCCCTTTGTACCGTTCATTAAGATTTCACTGGTACAGGGCTGGACGAGTCAAAACACTTTTTGATTTATTCACCAAAACAACCAGAAGAGCTATTTATTATCCATCCATTTCTCAGTTTTTCACCGGAGGAAAGCGAGCGTTTGACACGAAAGAAGAATCCACCAAGCTCCATTCACGCCATCCATCATGTAGCTGCTATTCAAACTCAATGCTGGTTTGGACCGGGTCACCTACATAAACTGTCCCATTTGTCTTTCGTTGAGTTCATTTTAAAGACAAGCTTTTTTCCTTTGGAGTTCTAGTCCATGGCGATTTTTCTAGGCAATTCTTTTTCACTTGAATAAATTAGTGATATTATAGTCTGCACAGAATGAGGAATTTAACGTTTCATAGTTTGCATGTGGTTCCTAGTTTACAACACATTTGATTCCAGGAGATAGTTGTTTTTATTTGTTTTGTAATTATCTGTTGACTATAACTTCACTCTGAAGGAGATATGAATTTGTAAAATCGTCATAAGTAGCATAACTCCCCCAAAAAGTTCTACAATGAAACAAGATAAAATACTTATTCTAAGCCTTGCTAAATCATTATTTTTCAAATTTTCACCTCCCAGACATTCTTTCAAAGAATTTTGATCTTATGCATGCCAATTTTTATAATTATTCTGCTACTATAAGTCACTTTTGTCCAGTGGTTCTCAATGGGGGTAGTACCACTCCATTAAAGGGAATTTGGGGCATTTACAGGAATATTTTAATTGTAACAGTAATTAGGCTTTTTAGTAAGAACGAAAGGGCAATGCTATTAAAATCATATTACAGTAAAGGATTTCCCTGTGTCCCCCAAGATCTTAAAAAAGAACTACCAGAGATAATCTCAGATGTGCTAATTTTACAAAGTCATCATTTGTGTGTAATTCCCTAGCAATGTTGTCCCAACTTCAAAGAAACTTAGTTCCCTCTGAGAATGAGCGCGTGTGTGGTGTGTGTGTGTGTGTGTGTGTGTGTGTGTGTGTGTGTGTGTGTGTGTGCGTGTGTGTGTATATAATATATATGTTTAGTTATTTTGTATTTCATGCTCCAGCTATTCATGTGACCTTTATTTTCCTGTATTTTTTTTACAACAGAATGATTTCTAATATCATTTCTCATAAACCTAAATTTTTAGTTTAACAGAAGTTGAGGGATTTTCTTGCAACATCAATTTATCACACTAGATATTTTCATATGTTTGTTTTAATTATAACAAGAAATTACAATGATTTTTAAAATGTATGCATTTAACAGGGCACACAATCTGCAGACTTTATTTTGAATTTAATAAGATGTCAAATGCTTTATAAACATATACATATGAATTTATGATGTTAAATCTGATAATGTCAAAAAAGACTTCTCTAAAACAAGTCAATTCATGAGATTATACTTTCAAATTGCACTGACCACTGAAGGCTTGAAACTGCTACTTTTTGTATATCTATGATGGCTAACATCATCAATGTTAGAGGATCTACAGTCTCATAGGAGGTAAATCTCTGAGTACACCTGTGATTGGTAATCTGGATTAGGTTGCCCTTGGGAGGTTGCTCTCAATACGCATTTAAGCTGAATTACATATTTGCATTGTCATACCTAAATATTGACCAAAGTACCTGTGAGTACTTATCTTGACTGAGTCAGTTTAGGTGGAAAGACCAACCTGAAAAGGGCATGGTACTGTGTTAGAGGCTGGAGTTCTGGGTAGAATACCAAGGGGAGAGAACCATACACACAATGTATTCTGCTTCCTCGAGGCTCTCGTGCCATGACTTCCTTACCATGTTAGCTGAACTTGGAAACGGTGAACAATATAAACACGTCCTCTCTTAAGTTGCTTTTATCAGGGCATTTTATTATGGTAAGAGGAAAAATAATTAATATATTTGTCCACATGGGAAGAAGTAATGAGTGTCAGGTGGCTCCATTTTATTTCTTGGATCCTCAGATAGTATTACTAACAGATGTTCTTTTTGTCAGAGGGATATTTGGTTTTAAAAAGTAATAACTAGTCTATACATAAGTTCTCTTTTGGATATCATGTACTCATTAAATTGTAAAGAAGGGAAGTAAATATTGGCCCAAATCTCCCACCCAATGGGCTAAATATGCTAGGTCAACAATGCAGGTGACATCAGAGGATATGTGGGGACTTTAGTGAAGTTAACTGAATGGAACCCATCTCAAAACGGTGAGTGTTTCTCATCTCTAACACATCACTGTCATATGTCAATGTGGGCTGAGAATTACCAAGTTTTTTTAAGTGGGAAGTTAGAAATCCTAATTTTAAGAAAAGCTTTGGTTTGTCTAAAAATAACAAGCTGGACACAAAATGCATGTAAACCTTTACAGAACATGACATGGGGCCATATTAAAAACTACATTTTTAAATCAAGATATTGTGTGCAAGAGCATAAATAATAATTTGTTTGAATGAAGATAAATACTTTGTCACATTGCTCATGCTGTTCTTATTTGGGAATACTTATTCATAATGTGTTAAGCTATTTTGCTTCCAGAAATGATGTGATATATGTTTAGTGTAAGAGTTTGAATTAAAATATGTGAGTGATAGTCTTTATTTGTAGCCTGTAGCACTAATATTTAGAGATTAAGTAGTAATATAGACAAATAGATAAAATACAAAGTACAACTATTGACGTTTTTATTACACAAAGAATACAAATTTGGTTATTTCCCCAGTTAAAGCCAGCAGGCGGTTCTATAATGAAGGACCCCAGATAATGTAAGAATTTTTATTACCAAAATAAAACCCACTTTATAGTTGTGCTAATTTCCCCATATAAGAGAAAGAGAGAGAGAAGAATACATAAGAACAAAGTGAATTTTTTTTTTTTGAGACAGGAATTTTTAAAAGCAGCTTAGGAGAATTTCAACTTAATTTTATGTCAGATTCTTTGAGTTGGTTCATGTGAGTTTTTTTTTTTTTAAGGGATGTATGTTGTTTTGAACTAATGTGTTGCAAATTCAAAGGGAACTCCTCACTTTATGTGTTAGTGGTGTTTCCCTAAAACCTGGGCTTGCTGAGACAGTGGGTTTTCGGAGGTTGCTCTCAATACGCATTTAAGCTGAATTACATATTTGCATTGTCATACCTAAATACTGACCAAATTCTGAAGGCAGATGAGTCCCCAGCACTCCTGGTGGTCTGTCCACTACTTTGGCTGGAAAGAGTGTTAAGATAAAACTCTTCTAAGTCCAGATGAATCAACGATGCGAGCATGCAGAGTGAAGGAACACCTTCACTTCCTAAAACAATAGTGTACAAAATTGAATACTCACCCATGAATCCCAGTGACAAGGAAGATGAGATTCCCATTGATCTTTGTGCAGTTTATGAATTTGTCAATGTTACTAGAATCCACAGTTTGAGCTGACATCAATGATCCTGTACCGATGCCGTCACACGCTATAGAAGCAAGATTCAGAGTAAACAGCTCAAAAACATATTCTTGGCTAATACATCATTATGCTTTTCATTATAAAATAATAGCATTTATTTCAAAACTTAAAAATACCTTTCCCTCCTAAAAGATAGTTATTAAATTTTGGTTTTTCAAGACAGGGCTTCTCTATTTTGGCATGGCTGTCCTGGAACTCACTTTGTAGACCAGGCTGGCCTTGAATTGAGGGATCTTCCAGTCTGCCTCCAGAGTGCTAAGATTAAAGGAGTGCTGGGGTTTTAAAGGCATGAACTACCAGGCCCAACTGATTTATTTATTTATCTATATATTCCTTTGGCACTACATGGCCATCCACTACATGGATATATATATCCAAATTCACTAGTATTGACCCTACTCCCTTATCAATTTAAAATAATTCTATTTTCTCTCTCACTTAACCATTCCCCAACAAGCCCCAAACTCAAGAAAATAAAAGTAAAAAGACAAAACCCATTCAAACCTAAAACAAATACCACACACACACACACACACACACACACACACACACACACACACACACACACATCAAACAACAAAACACGGAGTCTCTTTTGTATTTGCTACCTACTGCTGAGCATGAGGCTGTTCCTAGAGTATGATTAATCTACCCAGTATCACTCCATTGGAGAAAACCGATTTTACCTTTCCCAACAGGTATCAATTACAAATAGCTTCTTGGTTAGAGGAGGGATTGGATTTTGTGCCCACTTCCCCTTTTCTGTACTGTATTTTATCTGGATTGAATTTGTGCATGTCTAGTAAATGTTCACACAGCCTATGTGTGTTCATATGTTCTTCAGCCCATGAAGTTGGGTGTGTAAGGAGGTAGAAAGATATATGGTGCCCCTCAAAATACGGTGAGAGATCAGGGAAATAGGGAAAGCCACAGCTAAACTCACCTCACCAACTCTGCACCTTCCAAAGACAAGCTACTTCCTGTCTACTCAAGCCTATATGCCTTGCTGTTCTGCCATGTGATTTGCTCTCTCTGTGCAGCTATACCACTTCCTCTTCTTGCCCAGCTCTGCCACTTCCTGTCTGTCTGTGCAGACCTCCATACCTCCATGGTTGTTAACTAGTGTTGGAATTTAAGGCATCTGTCGCCATGCCTGGCTCTGTTCCCAGTGTGGCCTTGAACTCACATAGATTTAGACAGACCCCCGCCTCCCAAGGGATAGGATTAAATGCATGTGCTACCATTGTCTGACTTCTATATAGTGGCTGGCTTTTTCCTCTGATCCTCAGGTAAATTTTATTGGGAGACACAGTATATTGGGGGACACAAAACTTCACCACAGCATACTTTCAATCCCAGCACTTGAGAGGCAGGTTCCATTCATTCTTCAAGATATTCTGCTACTAATTCATTATTACATACATTCCATTTCTCCACCTTTAAGGTAATTTCCTTCTACTCTCATGACTCTCTTCTCAGTCACATATACACGAACACACACTTTTAAATATGGGTTCCATATGTCAGAGAAAACATGTAGCATTTGTCCTTTCTGAGCCTAGCTTATTCTGCTTAACATAATGATTTTCAGTTGCATCTGTTTTCCATACATGTCCTGATTAATTTTCTTTCTAAAATTTTATAATGCAATATTTTTATTATCTATTCATTTGCTGATAGACAACTAGACTTGTTATATTTTCTGGTTATTGTGAATAGTACACCTATATACAAGGCAGTGTAAGTGTCTATGGTGTATTGATTTAGAGCCCTTTGGTTAGAAACAAGAGCTGAATTATATGACAGCTCTACTTCTCAGTCTTTGGAGTAAACTTAAAGCTGTTTTCCAAAGTGGCTGCACCAGTTTACATTCTCAGCAGCAGGGTATGGGTTCTCTTCTCCTGCTAGCATCTGCCATTTAGTTTTGGCAACATTTTGAATGAGACAGGAATTTGAGCAGCTTTAATATGCATCTCTCTGATAGTTTAGGGCTCTGAACATTTGACAGCGACTTGTTAGCTGTGTGTATGTATTCCTTCCTTGGAAAACTGTCTACTCCTTTCATTAGCTCATTACTTTTCTTTAAATCTTCATTCGACATTTACTACTGAGACTGAATGGAAATATTTTCTCTGTATCATAATCTAACGATCAAGACTCACTGTAAGAATTTTGTTTAAATATAAGAGCCAGCACATAGTTACCACCTAGGCCTAACTGAAACAAAACCTTTTTTTTTTTTTATCCATGAATGCTTTGCATTATCAGATAAAAGTTCTAATTATGAAGATCATTTAAAAACACAACTTTTTTTTTTTTTTTTTTTTCGAGACAGGGTTTCTCTGTGTAGCTTTGCGCCTCTCCTGGAACTCACTTGGTAGTCCAGGCTGGCCTTGAACTCACAGAGATCCTCCTGGCTCTGCCTCCCGAGTGCTGGGATTAAAGGTGTGCGCCACCACCGCCCGGCTAAAAACACAACTTTTAATATTTTGAAAATGCTGGTAGTTTTGTAAAATAATTCATTGATCTACTAATCATTTACAACATACAATTTGAATAACACTAGTATATTAAAATACATATTAAGTAAAGAATATTATGATATGAGTCAGTACTAGGGCCATTCAAATATTTACACTTTTTAAATATTATCTTTGCTTCCTGAAGGCTCTACTTTGAAAAACAATTGGAGTGCATATGAGTTATATATATACACACACACACACACACACACATACAGAGATACAGACAGTCAGAGACAGAGAGGGAGACATTCACACAAAATAGAGTATAGTCTGAAAGTATGAGGTTTCCTTTTTCCTAACCTTAGTACTTCAAAAGCTTAACATTTGAGAGATTTGAACTCTGCTTTCATCCTGTTTAAAGGCTTCCTTCTGATGAAGAATTCAAGCATTCAGGTCTAGATAAGATGTCTTTCTTCACTAAAACTCTACAACACAAATTATTCATTTCATTGATTTAATACTTACAATGCACTTCTTATCACTGCACACATCTGTTAAAATAGAGTTTTAAGACAAGGGAGAGTGAGTGCTGTGTGGTCCTTCCCTTTGCAGATCTTGTTGTACAGAAATAATTTATGAGATACTAAACACCTAGTGGACCCTTGCTTTGTGCAAAATCTCTAGCATTTGCCTCTTCTTGGCAGTGATGTGGTTTGATTGTAGAGTACTTGCCTAGCATGATTAAAGCCATGGGCGCAATTCCTAGCTCTGCATAAAAGAAAAAAAGGAAATAAATATCCTTTGATTTCTGAGTTCCTGGGTATTTCCTGGGCCAGTCTCTTAGTATAATTCAAAGTCAATCAAAACCACTATTAGCCAGTATTTTTCAGAACAACAATAAAGTGTGTGTGTGTGTGTGTGTGTGTGTGTGTGTGTGTTGTCAGTCATTTATTGTGGGAGGATAACTAGTCCCACTGGCCTACTAAAAGTTATGTGAAGCCAGGAGGTGTGTCTTGAACCTTTAATCCCAGCACCCAGAAGACCGAGGCAGGCAGATCTCTGAGTTCGAAGCCAGCCTGGTCTACAGAGCGAGTTCCAGAACAGCCAGTACTACACAGGGAAACCTTGTCTCAAAAAACAAGCAGACAAACAAACAGAACAAAACCAAGCTAAACCCATAAAACCAACCAAACAAACAAAAGTACAGAAAGGCCTTTGGTAAGGTCCTGTTATAACCCAATACTCTGAGCATCACTCACCTTTTGGGCAAATATCAGTGCAAGGCTTACACATTTTAATCCCATTTTCTTCTACTTCCATCTTGGAACTCGGACAAGCACGCACACAAGAACTGGAATCTACCACGAAGTTATCTGATTAAAAAAAAAGTCAAATAAACAATAATGTTAATGTTAAATCATCAAGTATGAAAGAAGATAGTTTACAATTTGAAAATAGTTAGCACCATTGATAATATATATGTCTCTCTCTATAAATCAAATCCCCTCTAATACCCCAACCCAAAACAGCATCTCCAATGCTCACATTCCATTCCAAGAACAGTGTGTACTAAGAATGAGTCTCTGCTTGGCTACTGCTCCACATTCCAAATTGCCCCCAAGATAGAGCGATTTCTTTTATAGACTTAGGAAACTACATTACATTTAGTTTGTGTTTCTCAATAGTTCCACTTCATTTCATGACATTATGCAAGTTAGAATTCTAAAATACTTCAAGTTCATGAAGCACAAATGAAGCTTACATTAAACTGCCTTGGATCAAGAGAGTGCACTCAGATCCAAGAGGAAATGTTAAAAATGTATCCAGTGTTTTATTGGCATGCCACCAAACCTTTCTGATACATAGTGAAAATTTGAAAGATACCACTTTAGCAAAGGTATACATTTAGACAAGTGATAGCTTATTATTTAGGCTTGGTGACATTCTTAGGAAACCAGCAATCTGTGAGATGCCAGAACTTTCTCATTGAAAAACAGAATAAATTACTGCACCCAGAGCTATCCGAAGTAGAGGGACAACATGATGTTTGCAAGAACAGTCTGGTTTGGAATGCAGCAACCTCCCCTGAATACTTCTCTGGACCTATATACAATCCTATCAAAGATTCCAAACAGGAAGCCTGTCCAAAGCAGAAGTGACATATTTCATCTATGGTGGGAGCAAATGCCATGGAGAGGTATGAAGTTCTACCTAGAAAAACCTAACAGAGTCCTCTAAGATAGCCAAGGCATACTGTCTAAGGCACAGGATTGTTTCCCAATTAAGAGACAGCTCCTGTAATGGAGTCTGGACCTGAAGGAGACAGAGAACGTAATCATGGGTCAGGGTTGATTTATACTCAGCATTGCCATAATCAGCAATGCTTGAAGGAGGGCACTCAGACAATGTAGTGGAAGAAATCAAGGCAGATACACAGCAAAGTCTTCTAACGGGACATTTTCTAGGTAGTTACTAACAGCCCAGTCCTTTGTATGGAGAAAAGAGTGACTCAAGAGCACTAGACTGCTCTGTGAGAAGAAAGATTGGAACTTCTGGAAGGCACAGGATGGAAGGTAGAGGAACAGTATGGTTAGTCATCTGCAATGGTCCCTATAATATCATATCTTAAACACTAGTCCTCCAGCTTCTGCTTGTGCCTGTGGCCCCTTTCAGAGGTAGGCACTGTGGGTTTGAAGGAGATTATTGTTAGAAGGCTTTGGAAGATAAGAAAAGCTCTGGTTCTTACCTGCCTCAGGCCCACTCTCAATGAAAGGGAAGTCTTTGCCACAAGTTCCACTATCACGCATTCAATCCCTCCCCTGCTTTATGAGGGACTGAAATCTCTGGTGGCATGCGACAAAAATTAACCTTTTCCCTCTTACGTTGTTTCTTTTAGGTGTTTTAATCACAGCGACACAAAAGTGACTAACACAAGAGGCATGCACAATTCACTGGGGTAGACACACGTAGAAAATGTAGAAAATGTTTTGGAGTATTCACGATTCATCGGGGTAGACACATGTAGAAAATGTTTTGGATTGCAAGTTTATATCTGTCACAGGACACCCACCACAAAGGACTCTGTGCAGGATTCACTGAATCTTGACCCTTTTTTCATCAACAGGTTGAGTTCTTAGATTTCAGGATGCTGAACTTGGGAGCATAGGCCTGTGTTTAGAAGCTAAATGACCTTGTTCTCAAAGAGAGTTGTAGTTTGCCAAACTGAGCCCAGTGAGCAGTCCACAGATGGTCTTAGCATTATAACTTAAAAGCAATGAAGTACCTTCAACTGATCCAAAGAAGAATATTTCTGCTGTCATGTTTATATTCTATAGATTGTAAAGCCTCCACTCAGATGAGTACATAAGTTAATGAAGTTATTAACTTTTAAAAATTTTAAATAAATTACTTAGTTAGACTTTTCAATAGGTGAAAATCCCATTGGTCACTAAAAGCAATGAATATCATATGTATATATGATATATATGTGTATATATGTGATCACATATAATATTTAATATGTGATCAAAGTAATGGTGGTTTTCTTGAATTGTTAGCATTTGTTATCAGTTTGCTAAATATCACTTAACGATCTTCATACCTGTTCAATTATCCTGGCATATATTCTAGCATAAACAATCACTAATAAATATAGGTATAAACCCAACCATGTCACTATCTGACCTTGTTTATCATACACATTGCTGTCAACAATGATCTCTTCTGAGAAACAGCATCCCACATTGAAAACAAAGGTGCAGAGAAAATACCAAGTGTTTAGGAATCAGTAAGCCACCACTCTAACCTCAAGCCTGGTATGACCTCATATGACTCCAAAGCAATCACTTAAAAATGTTGATCCTTACTTTCCTCTCTTTGTGAAATATAAATGGCGGGACCCACAGCCAATGAAAAATAATTTACTACTTTTATTATTCAAGTTTCAAATGAAAATGATCATACATGAAACCTCTCATTTTTTTTTCAAGTGGTGCTTCGGTTATTTGATGTATCTTAGTGTGTTACTTACGTGGGCATTTTTTAACACAGAATGCTCCATATGTGTACTTTGCATTGAAGTTGTGTTCCAGCTGGAAGGTGGTTGGATTGTAGACAAACGTTTGGGGACATTGAGTAACACAGGCTCCACTGTCATTGAAGTTCATGCAAGCCTGCAACACAGCAGATACATTTATAAATAACCTTCCTATAAACTTGTCAATAAAGCACTGCTATCATGGTTTAGTGAAAGGTGCTATACTTCATATATTTCAATGTTATGAATTCTGCCCAAATTCATAATTTTGAAGTCATTGTGTCTTTAAGTTTTCATCAACCTTTCACCCCTTCTGTGTCAGTAAATAAATTACCATTTCTGATTACTGGTCTTCACATAGAGTAGAACATATCAACACAGTTTTAAACTGAGAATTGGTTAATAATGTTGAATATAGATGAATTTGACAGATTATTTGAGTTCACACTGATTACACATACTTATGTTTAATCTTTACAGTCGGTTTATGTCTCCAGTTCTATAGATAAGAATTTATTTGGAGAGGGTGACTGGCAAGCTCACCCCTTGTGTGTGTCATGTTAAGTTCAAGTATCTACACGAGGAACATAATGATGGTGATTTATTTACCAGGACTTAAGGAGAAGCTGGGGCAGGAGACTAACCAAATATCATGGTTATAGGAGTTAAAATATGAAGAGCTGGTGAGCTATTATTAGTCTGTGCTTAAATAAAATGATATAATTTTTCATAATGAATATGTCATTTACTGTAGCCACCATGTTCAAAAGGCCTTTGATTTTTGCTAACATAAATTTGTTTTCAGATGTGTTTTCATTCATATTTTCAAATTCTCTTGAGAAGAATTGAAAAACATTTTCCTACCTGAGAGTTATGCTTTTGATATCACAAAAAACCACAAATAAACATGTGATGAGCAAACATATGGACAATCTAACTCTTTTAATTAAGAAATGAAGCTTTCCTATGAATAACTGAGGCCTCATAAAAGAGTTCACATGAACCAAAGCTCAGTTTTACGTTTCATTATGAATTGTCATATGGTTATTAATAAGAATTAATTTATTCTGTTTCCTCGCAACATTTGCATCATCAATTGTTGTTTTAGCAAACACTTTATCACAACATGACAATTCTCTGATGATGGTCTACAAGGTACATAATCAGAAAGAGACTCACTGATGATACATTATTCACTGAGATGACACCTTATCGGAAGACTCTATTAAAAAGCAATCTAGAAAACTCAGTAAGTTTTAATTTATGACCATGAAACATCGTGTATTCTTATAATTGAATTACTAACACACTTTCTGCACTGATATGCAATGTACATAGGCTGCTTTGGAACAAGGGGATATAAGCCAGAGGAATGGAGCAAATTTACCTTCCAGTTAGCACACAAGCACGATGTAACGTATACCAAAGCCTCACTCTGGCGTTCGTCAACATTCTGTATTAAATGCCAAAGTAGGATCACTGGACCATTCCAATATAGTAATGAAATGAGAGCTCTCGAGAGCACCTGGTACTGCTTATCACAATAATACAAGAGAAAAGGCACAGTGCCACATCCTACAGAGAGAGGTTTTCCTACTGTTCCCCACTGTGCTGGCTTTGGAATCATTAATGCAACACCTGCAGTGTGCAGTGTCTTCAAAATCAAGCCTGGTCCTCTCCTGTCTATGCTGATGACAGAAAAGAAAAGGCTCTCAGTTTGGCTGCCAAGGCTCTTCCCTAGATGTGTAACATGTAGAAGCCCCTCTATTCTTTGTTTGGATTTAGTTTCACCAGACTTAGCTTTGTTTCACTGTAGAATCTTAGTAGACACATTAAGCTCCTTAGAATTTTTAAGAGTCAAGCAATAACTAGCTACAGCCTTAGTGCTCTAACTTCTATTTTGTTAATTGGATGAAGATTCAGTTGTTAAAAATTTCCCTTTTAAATATGTGTTTGGTGGAACAAAATACATTTCTAATATGTGTTTGTTAGATTTTTGAGAAGTGGAAAAATAATTTGTTGTGTTCATTTAAAAAATAAAACAGTGTACTGTTTATTATTTTAGATTAAAATTAGTATTCTGGTTTATGAACTTGAGTAAATTATCATTAAAAAGTTGTATATATATATATTTCAAGGAACAAAAATTTATATCAAGAATACAATATCAAATGTAATTTAAAATTTTTCAACAAAGCTATAAATGTTAATTTTATTGAAATAAAAATATCCTCTTCAAAAATACTAGCCATACAGTTTATCACGTAAATAGATTTAGATATGCATTTCTGTGTTTTAAATGTAGAACAATATTAGTTTGTTAACAGTGCAAACTGGAAAATATTTAAATGCATAAATTTCTCTGACATAACCTTGAAATTGATAGTCAGGAAGCAAGCTGTCCTCACTCATGAGACTCAATAATGCAAAAACACAAAGTGGTAAATAAGCACTGAATATGTGCAAATGATTTTCTCAGTTTCTGAAAGATATCCCAGCATGTTCTCATTCATGTTCTTCAATACATTCATGTCACATATAAATTATATCAGAAAGGCCGAATTGATCTAACTGGTACAAATAATAAATTCTGTTTAATCAATAGTCAACTCAATGGTAGAATGCCTTTTATAATAATAATATGACCAAACTTAATCTTAATATAACTCAGTGTTAAATATTCAATGTGACTCTGATTCAGACATAAGGAGAGAGAGAGAGAGAGAGAGAGAGAGAGAGAGAGAGAGAGAGAGAGAGAGAGGAGAGATTTCCAAACATACAAAGCAGTCAGTGTCCTTTGGTCCTGAGCAGCCTCCAGCACATTCTCGATGGCAACAGTCACTAACGTAGGGTCCATAGCACCTGCCATCACATTGTTCAGCACACACAGTCCTTGTCACTGTAGAAGACAGAGATAGGGCCTCAATTAATGCCGTCCACCCACAGATCTATGTTTATAACAACAAAGCATGTGTTCTGAAACAACTATTTATTCCATCTAATATTAATTCAGAAAACCTATAATGAATTAAGTCTGTAATTAGAAGCAAATTACTGTACAAAAGCTTCATTTATATGTGTATATATATACATATTTATTTATATATAACATTATTTTGTCTCCACCAAATAAGTATAAAGCCTTACAAAAATCACTGCATGTATTTATCAGGTTTGGGAATTAAGGAATGAACAATGAAGTGACTAAACCGAAGTACAGGAAGTCTCTCTGAGAGAAAGTGCCCTCAACACTCCTTTAAGATGCTTAGCACTCAACAGATGGGGAAATAAATTTTAACTTGATTCACATTATATGTTACATGAAAAAAGGCGGGGATGGAAGAAAGGAGGGAAGGAAGGAAAGAGAGAGGGAAGGAGAGAGGGAGGAAGGGAAGAAAGGAAAGTAAAAAGGAAGGAAGGAAGGAGGGAGGGAGGGAGGGAGGGAGGGAAGGAAGGAAGGAAGGAAGGAAGGAAGGAAGGAAGGAAGGAAGGAAGGAAGGAAGGAAGGGTGAAAACAACCAATCCTTTCTCTGGTCTTTTCTCACTCATCAATCTAATTCACAGCATCGAATCATTGTATAATTTATTCACAGCAATGCATAGATGGGGTATTAAAATTATAGTACAGAGAGACACACTCTGCTTATTTCAATTACTATAGAAACACACTTCCCAAGTACTTTCTCAGTATGCACACTACCAAGTATATGCAGCATATCACTCCATGGCTCCTTTATTTACAGTTTTGCCTGGTTTCTTGGTTATCATTTCTTGGACTAAGCTGTTTAGACACCACTTCTACCAGAGACTACATTAATTTTCATCACAATCAATGAAACGCTGCTATCTGACCAATAGCTCACCTAGAAAATAAACATGGGTCTCAGAGTTTTCTTTTCCCTATCCCTTCTGATACCAGAAGAAAATCATCAAGCAATACAAATTCTGTTTCATTAAATTTGTATTACCTTCCTGGCTCTATGCTAGTTTATGTATATCTATAAAGTTTTGCATATCCTTCTAAAGAGGGCTTCTTATCATTCCTTCCCATGAATCCTCAATGTTGCTCTTGAAGAAATAGTTTAAAAGGGGAATCTGTAGTTGGTATGTAAAATGAACAGAAAATCCAATAATAATAATAATAATAATAATAATAATAATAATAATAATAATAATAATAATGTAGAAGCCATTGCTCGGGTTCAGTGTTGATTCACAGTATAAAATATTTGCCACCCCTGTACCAGTGGATTAAATCCTTAGCAAAAATGAAGACTCCTCCATGAATTTATGGAAATTTCTACCTCCTCTGGAGTCACTCACCACTGCCCATCTTTCTCATATGTAGCAGAACAGGCACTCTTTCACACTGCTCCCTGAAGATTGATTCTCATTGTGTTTCCCTGTGGCATTTATTTACCTTCCAAGTGCTCCTATCTTCTCTGCTGAGCAATCTTTTTGTGAACCCTTACTAGGCATGTCTCCAAGCTGAACTTCTCTATTACTCTTGTTCCTGGGTAGAAGGTAAAGTTCATATAGAAGTCCAGGTGTCTGGAGCCTCGGCTCATTCCAAACTCTACTACACTATATCTCACGTTATCATCCCAACAATAGGACTAGAATGACTACTTGTCCTACAGGATTAGAGACAAACCAGAGACTCAAGTGTAAAGTGCTTAGCATGGTGAATGTGAGTAATGCTGTGTACGTGCATTACACAGTGTTATTGCCTTCTCTACAACATTTGTGTTGACTGGGTTAGTTTATTCCGCCTGATCAAATGGGGAGTTTGTTGGCTTTCCTTAAATCACTGAAGTACTTATTTCCAGGCACCAGGACAATATTTAGCCCTTGGTACACAATAGTACACAACATCTTCTTTATTGAGTAAGATGTGAGAAATTGCCAATCAAAGAAAGCATCTTCTAGATGCTAGACCACTTCTTGGAAAGATAAAATGATGTAGGAGGCTAACAAAGTATCTCTTGGAGAAAAGTGAGTAAATTACTAAAGAACAAGAATTACCGTTAGCACTTATTACTAGATTTTTAAAAATCTTAAATTCTGTAGCTGATTGTTTTCTGATGCTGTAGTTTTTCTTGGATCTGTTTCCATGTGATATGGTGACTATCCTCAGTAGATTATACATAATGTTGACACATGTAACTTTTCATAGTGAACACAATCATATTACTTACTCTATAGTAAAATAAATACAAGTTCCATATAATTTAAATTAAAACAGAGCTAGGCCTCATGATCTGTAGTGACTTTAATTTGGAACATATAGTCACAGTTTGTTGTTGTTGTTTGTTTATTGTTTTGTTTTGTTTTCAAGGCAGGTTTTCTCTGTATAATAGTCCTAGGTGTTCTGCAACTTGCTTTGTAGATCAGACTGGGCTTAATCTCACAGAGATCTGCCTGCCTCTGCCTCTGGAGTACTGGGATGAAAGGCATGTGTCACCATGCCTGGCTCCCATAGTATTTTTGCTCATAAATGTTTAGAAGATTTTGTTTTTCTTGGCAGTGGTAGGGATTGTTAGATGCATTCTGGCATAACAACCCAAGGCCTGTATACTTTGAAGTGTTTGATAAGAGCTTATTTCTCAGTGATGTCTACTCTTAATTAATACCTGTATTTAATCTTTCTCAAATACCTGATTCCTAAAGATTTCCCTATTCTTTCTCCCCTTCCTTGACCCTCTCTTTGTCTTTTTCAATTTTACTCTTACTTTGTTTAATATTTTCTCCTGCCTTCCATATTTTCTGTGTCATCTAACACCATCTAACATACTTTGCAATCATTTGTTATATTTCTTGGTTTGTGGTTAGTCCCATTTTTTTTTAGAACTGCCATTGATATTCATATACATTTAAATTTATATAATATATATGTATACATAATATATGCCATAAATATATATCCCTAAATTAGTTGTAACTTCTAGCTCTTAATTATCATATATTTCACTTATATTATTCCTTCTAACAATTAACTAAATCCTATATTCACTTATATGTACAAGTTAGTAATTCATACTACATAATGCAAAATCTTTTCATACATACATAGTTTTATAAAGAATGTATCCAAATATTTGTTTACCATTCACAGATGGAATAAAGTTCTTTCAATGGACTAAAAGTAACTAATTAAAATAGCAGACATATGTTAAATAAACAAAATACTTCATTTCAAATAAGTCATCAAAGAGCATATCATTACTTTGTTTCCAGGTAACAAGCACTGCTCAGCTCAAATTCAGCAGCACAAAGCCCAGAGCAAACATGTCCTATAAGCAACATCATATTTAATTCTAGACACATATATCCAAAAGGTTAACTTTTATTTATAACTGTCTTGATTCATGTTAACAGACAAAATGTTTTAATTTCTCTTTATTTACTTTGGCCTTCCCTGATAAATGAGGGAATTAATGTAGAAAACATTAAAACAGTAAGATTATTAACTCACAATTTTTAAAAATAGTATTAAATAGTTCCATCAAAATCCTTACTCTCGGCCGGGCGGTGGTGGCACATGCCTTTAATCCCAGCACTCGGGAGGCAGAGGCAGGTGGATCTCTGTGAGTTTGAGGCCAGCCTGGTCTACAGAACGAGATCCAGGACAGGCGCCAAAGCTACACAGAGAAAGCCTGTCTCAAAAAAAAAAAATCCTTACTCTCACTGAGAACAGTAATTACACTTGAAAATAACATGCTAAAATTTGTAAACTTCATAACAGTGATTATTCTATGAAACTGTTAAACATATGTTTTAAATTATTTTGTTATCTATAATAAATAAAGTTTAAAATTTTCAAAGTCACAATAGCTTCCATATTATGTCCAAATATTTCATATTTTTCAGAACATTTTTATGTTTTATATTCCATTCAAGTTCAGGGAAATATAAAGAAATATCCATTTAAATTTTTTCCAAGTACAAATCCACCCCCAAAAAAAGAAAGAAAACAAAAAAGAAGAAAATCTTCTGTGCTCAAGGAAACCCTCCAGGAACTGCCAGACCTGCACGGGACCTGTGGAAAGCAAACCATCAAGATCTTCACTGAGAATTCCTTCAAAGCTATTGATCAAGTGTTCCAACTGGAATTAGGGACTAATTTAAAAACAAAGCAAGGAGGTTTCTATCAAAAGCAATCTACAGGCATCCTCAGATCGCTGCTCGGCTCTGCTTCAGGATATTTTCAATCCTCTAGAAGAAGATGTGAAGTTGGGGATTTATTCTAAACTGGGGGTGGGGAGGTAGTGTGGATAGTCTTCTTTACGCAGGAGATAGATGAGTTGAAGAAAAAGTACTATGATGAACCCGGAGAGGGGGTTCAGGCCGAGGAACTCCACAGAAAGTTTTGCCGTCTAAAGAGGATGTAAGTGATGCAATTCTGCAGACAGAACGGAAAAGGAAAGGGATATTGAAGTGGGACATGTAAAAGCCGAAGCTGCACAGGCCACAGCAGAACGCTGGAGGAAACGTAAATGACACATGGGCGGTTGATGAAAGGGAAAGATAAGAGGTACCAGAGGACTGTGAAATCATCCACTGAGAAGATGGAGAAGGAAAGGTCCAGCTGAGGGAGGAGCAGCAAAGGACCACTGAGCACAAACTTTAGGAACAGGCCCAATCACGAAATGAGGGATTGGAGCAGGAGAACAAAAGACTTCAAGATGAGGCAATGACCCACAACTCACCAGAAACAGAAACAAAGCAGGAATACATCAGCAGAGAAGCTACTACCAGTTGAAAGAAAAGCAGAGTGCTCCATTAGGTTAGGAGCCAAAGCAGAGGTGAATAGGGTGTAGAATTTGGAACCCATGCCATTCGTGCATCACAGGAGAAAATAAAATCCACAAAAGTGTGCAGTGCAAATCGTTGAAAGCA